CGATGTAGTGGCGTGGCGCCGCGTGCATCACATAGATCCACAAAGATACTATACAATTTGAAAAACTACGGCATGGTAATATTCACGCTGCCGTTCAGTGTATTTTAAATGGTAAAATGCTGGTTCAAATGCCTGTCATACTACCTAAATGTTTTGTACGTGGGTGCTTTTGGAATGACTCTCAGACCAGCGGGTTAGATTCAGTTTCATCCATAACCCAAAACTTTTATATATCTTTGGTATTTTTATATATAAATTATATACCGTTTGTGGAGATAATCTCAAAGTTGTGCTTAATAATTGCGTAGTTTGCATAAAGTTGTCCAATTAGATTTTCCACGCCATTTGATTAAATTAATGATAGACTCAGAAGAACGTAGACATGGTCGTTTATTGTTATATTTTGTTCAAATGTATGCACGATATTATTATGAATTCGGAAGGTTAAACCATGCTTTTTGCAGTCGTAATTCAAGAACCACTGTGTTGTTCCATTAAAATTGCTCATATTTTAAAATCATCGTACAAGATAATTTCTTAGGTAATGTTTCGCTTTTATTTTAATTTATTTGAACCATATCTTCTATTTCGTAACATTTGACTTTATTTTTGAAGGATGTCCTATATATGTATACTCATTTTAATATGATAACCTTATTTCTTCATTAATTTTAAATAATTTGTGTTTCCGTACCTTCAATCATTGAGTTCTTGTTCAAACATTGAGATCTTGCTAATCGCTCTTCCCTAATCAAGAACAGTTTGTGTCGGATAGTGTCCGATATCATTCTTCGACATTTACAACAGAAAAACTCCCTCAGAAGTGAAAAGTGCAATATCGTCTGGGTCTTTGTGCTTCAAATAAATGATTGTAATGCAGGTCCGTAGTCAGCACTTTTGAATAGGGGGTTCGAAACAACAATAATTAATTTGATGTGAAACGTGTAAATTTTATAATATTCAAAAAGTTTCTTTGAGCTCTGTTACAGATGTAAGGTAGGTTCTCTGGTCAGCAAGTTGACAAAAGACACTAGTCCCCAACTTAATTTAGAAACGTAGCACAGGGCGACCGATGTGATATTTGGATAACTAAACTAATGCAATGAAGCGTTACACACCACAATGATTGATCAAGAACAAGACTAATATGATATATGTCAAAGGTCACCAGCATTTATTTAACCTTGCATGCAAATAGGGAAAATAGATTCCTGTACAGGGTGATACTATGGGGCAACTTCAACATACACTTTAGTTTGCAATAATGCACAATAATAATTAACAGCAGTCAACAGTAAACAAGAGTTCACTAAGTATCAGAATATACCAATTATTGACAACAAGAGTTCACTACAATGTCCACGATCTCCTAACAACCGGGCGGTGCTTCGGCGTCACGGTTGCTAAGGTAATAATGTCACAACGCGTTGTTCAGCAATGTTGACGTTCATGCGCGGTCACACACATAACGGTCACGCACTCATAACAAATTCAGGCATAGCCTCCGGCCTCTAGATCGACTTCGGCGAATAATACACACACGGGTTGACG